TTATTTTACAAGTTTTCTTTTTGTTCTTGGCATGATGAAGATGAATAATGTGGATTTGTTGGCTGCTACACAAATGGTAATTTTGAGTTCATGTTTCCTCAATATTACTACGATTATTCTTTTAAATTAATAAAGTCGAGAAGTAATCTCCTGATAGTATAAGGCATTCAACGTTCTCCTTGCTAAACATTTGTCACTGGTCATGCAGTAGTGACGCAACTGGTCATGGAGTAGTGGAGTAACTGGTCTGCCGTAGTGGAGAACACCAGGTCATGTTGGTAGTGATGTAAACACGGGACAAGCAGGTAGTGACGTACTGGTTCATGTAGTAGTGACGTTACTGGTCATGCAGTAGTGACGTAACTGATCATGCAGTAGTGACGTAACTGGTCATGTAGTAGGACGTAACTGGAATGCAGTATTGACGAATTGGTCATGACATAGTGACGGTAACTGGAGTTTCCCCCCCACCCATGAATTTCATGGGGGTGACACGAGAGATTCCGCACCAGGTGACACCAACTGTAGCGACGCCTCTGAATTATTATTATTAAAGAAATAGGAAATAATAGGTTGAGGTATAGAGTTGTAAAATAATGAGGCACTATATGCAAATTGGATATTGAGCATATATATACATATACATGGGGGTGACCCACGATGCTTGCCCCGGTGTGTGACACCAGATATTTTCGCCCCGGGTGATCACCCAACTCTAGCGAAGCCTCTGAGTGTGTTGGAAACTAGTAAGGGCGTGAAGTTACTGGGATAGCGTGAAGAAGGCCGTCAGTGTACTGAAAGGCAAGGAAAGGTGAGGAATGTCAAGTGGCAGTGGAAGGACCCGTGTCCACCATAGGAGTTCGTCTCCTCAATAAATCAAAGAGGGCGTCAAAGTTTTAGGATGACCGAGAAGCCGAAAGCGTTTTGGCGTCTGAAGAAGATACCGTTTTGTGGTAAAACGTGGAGCGAAAGGAACCACCAGGATAAAGGACAATTATTATATTATAAACAGGGGGGGCGCGAAACCTGCAGATTATACAGCCTGTGGGGGGGGTGGATGGAAGGCATTCAGGCTCAGTTCCGGGCACTGGAGCACGATCCTATCCCTAGATCAAGAGCCCCTCACCAGCGTCAAGGAATCTCCCTTGAACGGCCAGAGAAGTGCAGAAGCAGGGCAAGGTGAGTCTTGGCAGGCAGAAATTTCCAGAGATGACAGGTGAGGAGCAACTTTACTTGGGGTGGATGAACTTCCATAACGTATCAGATAGCATCGAGTAAAGGTCTGAACTCCAGAGATAGGGACGAGGCACCCTTGGGAATGTCATGTGGTAATGGGGTTGAAGGAGATTTGGACAGAAAGAAGGTGCAGACTTTGAAAAAAGGGATATGTGGCATCGGATTTAAATAAGAGGGGGTGAAGAGATGGTGAAATGTGTGAATGGGAGTGTGAAGAACTAGGCCCCCCCCGGAACAGTAAGAGATGGGATGGAACCCTCAGAGCTCAGGACATAAAACGTTGGACAAGAGTTGCCAGCACAAGTCAGGGGCCACACGCCAAATGTGGATGCGGCAGCTACCCAGGATCTGGGGCCATCTAGCGGACCCTAGGAAAATGAGAGAGCTGTGGGAGTCTCCCTTTGGAGAGGTGGGCAGAGGGAAATGCACTGTAAGATACGCTCTCTTTTCTCAAAAAGGACAAGTATCTCCCTTACTCCTTAAGAAAATTGAGTAATGGTGAGAATAGTCAGGGTGCACCTCTTTGCATTTAAGGCATGAGGGCGGGTGGACTGCAGGAGGAGGACTGCTATGGTCAGCTGCACTACAGACAGGACATTCTGCCACTGACCTGCAATATTTTGCAAAGTGTGGCAGACGCACCAGGCATTTTCTACAATGTTGTGGTGTAGGATCACCTCCCGGACTTTTAGGTAATGTCATGCTACATAAACAGCTGATGGCAGTCACAGCAGTCTAAAGTTAGTCTTGATATATTGCAAGGATTAGCACCTCTGCCCCACAGGGCAGGGGAGTACTAAGTGTCAACTTTATATGATCGGGAGAATCTGGAAGCTCGAGTTGCTTCCTAGTCACTGATTTTAGAAGAGTTCTATATTTGTCTGCCCGCCGTTTTAACTGCGTCCCTTTTCTCTTTGCCTACATACGCTCGTCTTCTCTTCAGTTACCTCCTTTCTATGTTTCATGTAGCATCTCACTTTCCCCTACCCCCTGGGAAGTTCAATGGTTGTGCCTGTTCTTTCCCACTTGCATGCCAAAAACCAAACTGCCAACAGTTGGCTTCTCAACTTTATCTCAACCACTTCCGATCTATTCTCATGTCATCTCAGTGTACTCCAGTGGTTCCAGGTCTTCTGACGGCACTGGAGTCACAGCAATGTTTCCCGGACCAGAATCATGTGAAGCATTAATTATCCCGGCTAGCATTTCTACGGTAGAATTGTATATGCCATTCTCATCGCACATATCCACATTGGCATCTATGCCTGTGTCCACCATTTGTGGCCATTTCAGACTCCCTTAGTACTTCACGGCTATACAAAAATTTGATAACACCTCATCTCGGGTTCTTCGTATCCAACTTGGTTACGCCGTATCTCTACAGCACAAAAAATGATGTTTTTAGTCAGGCTTTCGGATCATATTGACGTACAGTGTAATGAACAGGCCGACACTGCTGCATGGTCAGCCAGTTAACATGACCTCCCCAATTTCAAATAGAGGTGTGCGCCATTCACAGACTATTATGCTGTAATTGACTACCCACTTCGCACCTGTTTGGCAACATGAACTGAGTTGCACCATAAGCTACATTCTGTTAAAACCAAGTATAGGTTTCTGGCCGTCTTCTTATCATCAGTGTCGAGGTTGGGAGACTGTACTCTCTCCCATCTTAGCATCGGCCACACTCATCATTATTCATGGGTATCTCGAGGGAGGTGCCCCCTGTTCCCCACATCCTGTTAGCCCCATTCTGTTGGACTGCCATTCTATCAAGCACGCAGATTTACCTCTGTCGCCGTCACCTCTTCTGCTGCCTTACTTACCTTCCGTCTTGCTGATGGACACTCCTTTAACCAGACTCTATGATGATGATTGCCTTTCTACCTCCATCTCAGGCTACCTCTTACCCCTGCATCCTTCCTGCCCTGCAGCGTGTAGGACCTTGAAGTTTAGCGTTTCTTTTTTTTTGTTGTAAATAAACAAGTAGACTCAGGACTGCCCTTTCCTCCCGCGCAAGAACAGTAGCGTTGTAATGATCGTTGTGAAGGATAATAGATCCACAGCAAGAATTAATAGGAGATAGGCTTGCGCCTCGTAACTGGTGCATTGTAATGTCCGAAGTAAAGATTAAGTGCCTGCCTCTGCACTTTGTAGTGACAAAGCAAGTGCGGGCTGCTCTTGACAGGGAAGCAACGTTCTGCCAACATGGGGAAGGCGTGTCCTTTAAAACATTAACTGTGGTGGAAGAAAAAGATGGTTGGGGTAGAAGAAAAAACAGTCGGAGATTAAAAACCGTAAGGGGCGGAATTGCTTGTTAATCACTGATTAACACATTCACCTCTAAATGACAGATGGCCCATTCTACCAGCTGTCATGAGAAAGATGAACCTCTCTGGCCAAAAAATCTATGCTGCTAAGCTGCAATTTCCTGACATCAGCAAGGGAACTCCTTGGCTAGGCAGCAAGCATAGCAAAGCTGGTCAGTGGTGACAACAAGAGCAAGTGTATTTACTTAAACTGCAGACCCGGGAACAGGCTGAGGGCTCACAAAATTGAGCCAACAAGGACGGCATAGATGTGCAGACCCAGACAGCAGTACTCTAACTCGACTATCAGCACAGTGTAAGTGGCTTTATTATTTTTTTTGTGGAAAGAGGCACTATGTACCTGTTCACAAAAAGGACCATCGCAGAATTTCCAGCAACACTGGCCATTGTCACACCTGATCCAATAGGCGAAAACATGGCCGATGAGTTTTTTGACTACCACTCACTTATTTGAAACCCTCAATATGGCTTCATAGAAAAGGGTATTCTGCTACTGATCTAGTTAAACTTCACTAAGTGGCACCACTTGCTGAATATTCAAAGTCAGCCGATAGTAGCACTGGGCATTGCTGGTGCTTTCGAACGAGACAGGTCCCAAGGACTTTGGCAAAAGAAAGCACTGGAATGCAGGCCACTACACTGTCTCGGGTGATTACCGTCAAGATAGATCTTCTAATATTATTCTCGACAGGACAGAGTCAAGCAGACAAACCAAATGGAGCAAGCATTTCCACAGGGAGTGTGCTTGGGCCAATGTATATGGAATGATTACTTCAAAGACCATTTCATCCCAGAATCCCATGCATATGCAGCATGACTATACACTGACATATCCT